ATTAACAGAGAAAAATATTAAATTAACTTTCACATAAATGTTATGCTTTCAGATGTTCTTTTATTTAACTTTATCGAATTAAAGCACTAAGGCATTGACTTAATAAAATAGGAGCCGATACGAGTAACATAAAATAAAGTGGCTGTCTACTTTAATTAATTTGTTGGCGTCCACAGCTTTCAATATAATAAAACGGGTTGTACTCAGATCTTATCTATATCTTCTATAGGCTTAGTTTACAAAAACTTTAATACTATTTCATGCTAAAGATTATAGAAACATAACAAAATTGTAAATGTAGAGGAACCTGTTGTAATTTGAACAGTGTTGTACCTAGTACAATTTAAAATTTTCGAAAACTCCCTCGCTTTAAAATACATTGCCCATGGCAGTTAAAGCGCTTTGTTTAAACTTTAACATTTAGTTAGTTATTTCATCGCTCTATTTCTTGGTCAGAAAGTGGGTTTTTTGCTTTACTTACTGCATATTAATAAAATAACATAATAATACAATTCCATATGACGAAAATTTCCGCACGGTTTCTCTTCCTTTCACCCTAACCCTCGGCGTTTTGGTCCCCTTGGGTCCTATTTATTTATGGATTATAATCAACATGTATATCTTTAGGTTTATTTTTATTTATAAACACACAAAATAATAATAGTAAATTTATTGGTTACAAAAAAGTAAAAAATTATCGAAATTAACATTTATAAAATAACATACATTTATCACAACACTTATCTGGCGTCGAATTTCAGGAAATTTAGGTAATAATATGGGTCTTGAAAACTAATTTCAAATATAACTAACATTTATAAACAAAGTTTATGAACGAAATTTTCGGGTTGCTGTTCCTAATAAAATACACGTTACTCGATTACTTGCAGTTCATAGACTATTTTTTTATTTTTCAGAATGCTAGACATTTTTATGATATTGATTCTAACACCTCTGTTTATATAAATAATCTAATCATCATTGGGCCCCGAACCTAAGAAAACACACGTTTAACGATTAGTAAGGTTTAACGGTAAAAGGAGTAATTTTTTTATTTTACAGAACCATAGATATTATTATGATAATGATTCTATAGTACATTCATCTAAGACAGAGTTCCCCAAACTTTTTTGTGTCGTAGACACTTTGCCATGTTTTTCCGTGTTGGGTAGACTGATACTGATACTTACCTGATATTGATTTCCTGTAAATTTCTAACTGTAGTGAAGTTTAGTGTTAAAAACTTAAAGTAAAACACATGTTAATTTATACATTTATTAATTGAATTTAAATTAAAACTACTCAAAATAAAATTTTGTATCTGTTATTTAATGTTGTAAAATAAATATTTTTTAAAATATTTTCTTAGCACTTTCCTTTTCAAGATTCAGGAAACGAATAAACGTATTTGTCCCACATTCGTATTTATAGAGTGACGAATTGAACAAGTCAGTGCAAGGTAGCGAAGCTCTGAGACTGCGACTCTCAGGTTTTTACAAGTTCAAAATGTATTGCGACTACAAAGCGAATACCAACATCCTACAACTTACACAATTTTATAAACATATATAATATTTTTTTTACTTCATAGGTACTTTTATAAATAATGTATATGTTTTGATATTACAAGATAGTATGATGTAAGTAAATAGGTACTATCAGTGTATGTGTTGAGATCCACTATCGTGGACCCCCATTTTCATTTCATGGAACCCCAACTTTTTTTCGCTGACGTAGACCCCTTGCAGGTTGTCACAGACCCCAAGGGGTCGATATAGACCACTTTGGGAATCACTGATCTAAGACTTGCGTAGGTCGTCAACCTATCTAGTTGGTCGGCGTAAGGAGTTGCCTTATACTACCACGGTCAGTACGGCTGCCACTCAAGAACATTTTTTTTCCTCCGGTTATCGGTTCTACGCTATCATCGATGATATGAAACGATAAGCGATGGGCCGGCCATATAGATTGCCAACCTTCTTAGCTTGCTAACCTTCTGAGTTGTCACGCAGAGAAGTAGCCCGCTCCGTAGCACGGTAAGCGATTTTTGCCGATTAACCTCTGCGTCGATGTTGGACCTAAACCTAGACTAGTTTTACCTACCCGGACTAACTGTTCTAAATAAAACGTATTCGTCAACAAATTCGAGCACAATAATAATAATAAAGCTTTATTTAAACAAATAGTAGAGAACAAAAACATCATTTACAGTATTAAGCACAGTAAGTACGTTTATAAATCGTGTTCACATTTGCATACTGAACCCTGCACTAGGTAGCAACCTGTCTCGCAGGGATCAAATTGTCGATTAGCTAATTAGGATTGTGTTTTTTGGAATATAGGAATGTTTTTTTTATATATTTAGAATCCACAATGTTACCAACAACAATCGGTATAGCCGTCACATGAACATCTGACATGATCTTCGTATTGTCCATGTTCATCTTATGGTCCACCCGTTCGGAGACACTGGTGAGCTCATTGAGTAAAGTAGCAAGATACTCCAGCGATTATGCCATGATGACTATATCGTCAACAAATCGAAGGTAGTTGATGTCACCAGCTTGAAAACGTCTTACAATGCAGCGGTGAAGAGTTTCGGGGATATGACGTCACTATGTCTTATACTCTTATATCCGTCGTATACAGTGTTGCCAGCGACAACATTCGGCCGTCCTGAATCACGCCTTCGTCCTCGAATGGCGTTGTAGTCTGGTGCAAGTGAGCCTGTGGCTTATCCTTCACAACTGGGATGCATATCGCCACGTTCAGAGCACCTTACCCTGTGGCTTCAATCAATTTTGCAAACCATGAGTGTATAAATTTTTCAAGTGAATATGAACTAAGAGTTCTTTTTTCTTATTGAGGGTATATAGCCTTCAAGGTTTCATCAGATTTTGTCACGATCCATAGTCATCTCAAGATTAATGCAGCGCTAGCGGTTGCAAAGTGTACGCCGATGTCCGATATTCTATATATACAGTTTGGCAATTTCTTAGCTAAACTTGCTTTTTCTTCTTTTAGGTCAAAGCTGACTAGTGGCAACTACGTAGACACATTCAGATAACCAGGCCCTTTTCGACGACCACCAGTACACAGCTCTTAATTAAGAGCAGCCGATCAAATGCTTAGGTATCGCAAGTTTGTGCTATAAATGGACTGCTGTATTGAGACCGCCGGAAAGATTTCCTTTTTAAAGGACACACTCAAGTGCAACAACGGCTTTAGCGACACTTTTTGCTATAGTAATTTAGGAACCAAAGAAGAAGAAACGCGAGTTATCTTTTCATTTTTCTTTCTTTATAAGCAGTGAAAAGTGATTTTTTTTATGTGGGAAAGTAGCAAACGTGCTGGCGGTTCAACCAATGTTAAGTGATTACCGCCTGTCCTGTTTTATTTGAAATACCTTTAGGGTTGCAGGTGCGTTGCCACCTTTTTAAAGTGTTGGAAAATCCCATAACGTTTTGGGCATTTTTTTAACTGGGTCTCTGTGGCGCAGTTGCCAAGGTATTGGCTTCGGCGTCGGGGTTCGTGCGTTCGATCTCCACACGGATATTTGTGTGATCCACAAATAGTTGTTTCGCATCTGGGTATTTGTCCACGTGAAAATTATGTTTGTATAATGTTCTTACAACACAGGATAATGTTATCCTAAAGTAAGGGCAATATTTAAGAAAAATAAAGGAAAAAAAAGACTGCCTACAAGGATTTGACCCCTGGGTACGTTAGAGATAGTGATAAGGGACCCTTAATGGATACATACAGATTTGGATACAGCAGGAAAATTTTTTTCGGTAAAAAATTGCAATGCTTTGTCTAATATCGACATATGCATATAATATGATGTTAAAAAAGTAGTTATATATATAAATGTTATATTGCTTTTATTACATTAATAATAATTGCAGGGTTATGAGGAGGGCAATGAAACGCGCAAATTTTCAAAGAAGTACGACTGTCTTAGTGCCCAAGATACAACACCTGTATTTAACTGAAACAAGTGGAATAGTTGGAAAAGTAATAAAAACAAGGGGGGTTTTACTCACGTTGAGCGGTTTACCAATAAAATCGCAGTTATACTTTGTAAAACGAGTCTTTAATTTATTTTCGCATTAACCGTGCATAGTTTAAAAATAATAGGAAATACAGTAAGAACATTTTATAAATAATTAAGTTAGAGTCCCCTGATGCATATCTTGCAGCGTTACGATGTCGTCAAAGCTTCTTGTCTTGCGGCACGTCGCTGAGTTCAACCGCACATTTTGCAGGTTTCGTCGACAACGAACCATTATGTTAACACGGTTACATCGTCGCGAAACCCGAATTATGTGCGGATTCTTCTTATAAACAGCCAATGTCCTCTTCACTCTTCATGATTGCAGAAAACATAATATATGAGGCGATAAAACATCATTATAAATCTTAGATATAGGAGTGTTGTATCGCCAGGAGGCTGTAAAATAAATTCTAAAAAAAATAAAGTTTCTTGAAATAGAAAGTAATAAGAAGTGTAGTGCATGATTAACTGAAGTACAATTCTTCATAAAATTATACACGTTAATAGTTTCATTAGTATGTCGTAATAGCTGAAACATTTATACATCGAAAAATGCCACATAGGTAGTACTACGAATATACACGATTAAATGATTTTTTATTGGTTTAAGGCGTTTAATTTAAATAATTTAAAAATATGTAAAGGAACTCCAAAGATCCAAATTTCATTCAGTGAAGTGTAGTTTTAGCGCAAATATAATAAACTACTGTATAGTACATGAAAATAGTTACGAAGTGCGGAGTAATAATTGAGAATTGTAACAAAATGATTGTCCGTCCTAGATTCGCCTCGTAATTATTAAGCGTATACATTAGCTCTTAGCTCGCACTTAAGCGTTCTCTCATTCAACAGATGACCAATTGTTCGTTCTCCCGTAGCGGCGGCCGCTAAAAGTTTTCCCATTTATTCAGCGTTCACGCGTCAAGTGGATGTAGCTGAGGGGATGGAGGGGCTGAGGCGGGGGTTGTGGAAGCAGGCCGACGCGTTCCGGCGCGATAAGGCGGGCGGGTCCATTGTCGCGGCGTCGGCGCACGTTTCCTCTACAGCCGCCGAGCCTACCGCATTGTTCCCTCCCATAATGAACAAACTTATTCCCGAGGCTAATGCTGCAAACCGCTTGCCGAATTCGCTCCGGCGTTATCTAGCCCCACTGTCGCCGACATTGAGCCGCGACTCGCGCCGCAGTTATAATAGCCCGGGACCCATAGGCCCAGTTATGTTTGAGTAGTGTTAAGAGACTATTGGTTGTGTACTCACATTAGCTAACGCCGAAGGGTTGTTTGAGTAGGGACCGAATTCTATTAAGGGGCCGTGACGCGAATCTAAGATAATTTGGTGTCACACCTGTTTAAACACTCGTCACATGGACGAGGTAATTTTCTCGGCTTTGATGTGTGCTTGCAAATTGAGTACTACAGAATCTGTAACGAATAAAAGATGTAATAGCCAAATTTTTATCGATTTTCATTGAGATAATTATGTAATATCCAAGTTTTTATCATCTTTCATTGTTATTGATCTACAAATAACTGCATCGCATTCGTAAAAGAAATTATAAAATGAAACAAAAACAGGACTCATTAAATAAGAGACGATGCTAATTGGACTACCAGCTGAAAGAGAACACTGCGCTAATTAATAAATTATTGTATAAATCGAATTAATCTTGGTTTCCTTGGACAACTTATCTCGTTCATATGTAATTATTATATATCTCTCTTGAATTTTTTTTCGTAAAAAGACGTAAAGCCTCTTCCATCTTAAACTCTTGAGTTCCTACTCAACGGACGGAGCTGTAAAATGTCCTAGCCGCCTCTATATTACGTTCACTGTAGGCACCAAAATTTTCCATTCATTCGAATACATTCAAATATCTCCTGCAATAATAGCTCTCCTTATTCAATAGCGAAAAAATTCACGACGACCCGGCAATAACTGTGGAGGGGGAAATCGCATTTCGATCGAAAAGAGGGCAAATCTTTTATGTAATATAAGATTGTCATCGCGATTATTACAGGCAAATAGAATACGGCGGATCGGTAAGTAGGTTATCTGCCTGCTTCCTTTGGCTGGAATCACTTTATTGGATGTTGCGACGTAAAATCTATTTATGTATTTTATGCCTGGACGCCTTTAAAATATGCTTACCTCTTGTGTATCCGGTGCGGTGGGCTCTTATATTTTCTAAACGCTTCTTTTTTTTTACACCGCATTTGGAAAATTTCATTTAAAGTCTTTACGATGTTCCGTTTTGAATTTGAAGAAAACTCTTGATTTTCGTAGATAATGTAGATGAAATCTAGTATAAAATTAACTTTTGATATTATTTATTTATTATCAAGAGGTGTTCCGACTCTCAATTCTTACAATTTTATGAATTGCTAAAATTGGGATCAAATTTTATTGCCATAGATGTCTTGCTAAAATTCTTTGGTTTCAATTATACTTTACTTTGACCGTCTTACTTCTTCTTTATGTATTAATTATTTAGACTTAGACTTTTTTCTTTTTTTTTATATATACCATATATTTGAAGCGACAAACATTTTTATTACTATTTTTATCGTTAAATCCGTATCAAATTGTTATTACCAATAAAGTGGACTTTTAGATAATTTTACTTGTAAAAGTATTTTTTCTTATAAAAAAGAAGTAATAAAACTTATATGTATTATTAATATACAACACTATATTTCCCGTTCCACGCAATAGGATATGAATCAAAACTTTTATCGCGCGAGGGGTGACGTCAATTTGCGAGAAATGCTTTTCCCGGTGACTCAAATTACTCCCAAACAAATGCCTATCGCCGGGGTTGTTATCTGAAGTTCTTAAAAAAAACGAAAGAGACTCGCGCCACGGTGAAAAACTTTCACTACGGCAAAAGGAAAATGAACTTCCCATCATATTCTCGTTACATTTTACTATCAAGAGTGCGTTCGCGAGGGATTCTGCTAAATGGCAATTAAGATGAGCAAGATGCGTGTAGGTGGGTAATGCTTGAGGCAGCGAGGCGAGATGCGACTTGGCGCAGTTGAAGCTTGCTGGGCGCAGGTGCGCGGAAAAATCACAGATTATTAGCGAACTTCCTGTCGGCGCATAGACGACGTATTCATATTTAAATGTCACCTCACGCTTGCAGAGCGGGCGTTAACTCATGTGTGTTATGGAGACGGCGCTGCCTCGAGCTCGTCTAATAATGTACGCCGGAGGAATCTTTGGATTAGCGTCGATTTTAAATCACATTTTATCTGACTTGCACCTCAGATGTCAATTGTGTCAATTGTATTCCCGAGTACTTTAATATATAGTCACTTTTCCTTCATGCTATAATTAAAATATTATGATAAAAAAATTACGCCAATCATATATGGCAATGACCTAAGTTGGAAATACTGACAAGTTGGTCACTTTGTAGACTCCTCTACGGGGTGTATCTTATAGATGTAGTCTATTGATGTATGAACTTTCACTAACCTGGTGGTATTGGGTTATGATGGTATTATACTTAAACGTATCATTTTTCGCAACTTCCGAAATATTTTTTACGGAGGAGAATTAATTATACATTATTATTTAAATTAATAAACACAATAGATTATAACTGAATGACAAGTAATCAGTAAATTTGAACAGTCACATTATAATATTTAGCAAGTGGTTAATTATTTTATTTTGCACGGGTAAAAGGCAAAATGAATCATCATCATTTCAGCTTGTTGTTGTCTATTGATAAATATAAACATATCCCACTCTCACCGAGTACAACGAAGCAGGATCCAAAACCATTTGCATCCTTTGCATACTGGGTAGGTGCAAATGTGCGCTGCACAGGACATGACTCCATCTAGTTTCTCTTTTATCATTCTTGAATCCATTATTGTTGATGTTACTCAAATATAATGTAGCATTAGTGAACAAATATAAATGGTTCCATAGTTTCAAGATTACTGACATACAATATAAAATTCAATCTATTAATATAATCTATTTCAACTCCCGAGTCGCAAACCTCTACCTGTGTCGCATTTTATCGGTTCACAATCGGAACGAGTTATAAAATTACGAAAACTAAAGGATCCTTTCTTAAATGTCTCAACTACACTACAAAGGGATAAAAATGTTCGCTGCAATTTTGCGCAAGTCAACGTTTCAATCCCGCACCGCTCTGGGGAGCCTAACGAAATTTGTGCGCGAAAATTAAACTTAAATTGGATGTTTCGAGTTATTTTTAAGCATTTGAATTTAGTGATTAATTACGGCATGATAAATTTCATGGTAATTTGATCGAGAGCGACGAATCTCGTTTTCGCTTTCGGCTACGTTCGCAGCAAACTAATAATATAACGGTTTTATCGTGTTTTAACGTTAACGTTTACAGAAATGTGCAAATTGAAACATTCAGATACATAAATACAACGGAATGGGTTTAACATCCAATACTGACTTTATCGCAGTTGTCAGCTTTTCACAAAGGCTTATTATAACAGCATTTATTTCTACTTTAAAAACAGGAAATATGAGCTCGAGCAGATAGCTTCAATATTGGAGAAGCATTCAATAGAGCGAAACAATTGACTCAGTATTGCAATCGCTGAAAGGTACGATTTCGAAGTATCATTATGTAACGTTATTTTAATTAAATTTTATTTTTCAATGAAGGTATTTAATTTTACTAATCGAAAATATAATCACAATAAAGTCTGGCGACAAAATAGGAAAACTTCAATTGGTTAATTTATATATATACTTCATACTTTATTTATATTGCTGAAGTATGTCTTTTTGAAATCTTTAAATGTAAATTTAATAAGATTAAAATAATAAATGCCAATGATACCAATATGTAACGTAATAAAATATCTGTACCTCAGAGGTAAACAGCATTATGCGCCAAAACACAAATTTTACAGGAGACAAAAATGCGTGGAGTGAATTTTTAATCATGAGTTTATAAATTTTTGTACCCCTTTTTACGAAAAATTTCGCGGACCGAAGAATATGAAATTTACTACACTTATAGTTTATATAGAGAAGGACTGCAGAATGCTGTATTTTTTTAAAATTATACATAAAAATAAATTAAATCAATATAAAAAATACATTACACACACTACCGGGTATTTGACACGTACACGCATAATATACTTTTTTGTTTATTTGTATTGTATTTGAGATTAGATTAATATTGTTCTATCTTATAATTTAAATTAATTATGGCTCCGTAAATATAATCCGCGTCAATTTTTTATCAAATAGGCGTCGGAGGACTTAATGCTTTATACAATGTGTACAATTAGTTCTTGCTATTTTAATCGTGTAAGAAAAATAATTTTGAAAAATTTGGAGTTGCTATTGTATGTATATTTATATAATATAATACATTTGAGAAAATATTGATAGTAGAATTTATATAAGTTATTTTATTTCTTGCTATAGTTACAGCAAATAGATGCCATATTTATAAACTTCATTAAACAATTGAGTCGAATACGACAACGGTCCCTTTTGTCTCAACAGAGCGGCAATTATGTATTGAACCTTAATTAACTAAATACTCATGTATCGTAAACAATAGGTTCACGTCCACACAGACGTAATCTTGTGTAATCAATTGCATGCATACCATAAGATAATAAGCCTGTGTGGAGTTGCTGTGCCAACCTCTGAAAATCCGATGCAGATTGGCATACAGCGCACAGGATTAAGGATATCTGGATTATGAATCGTAGAGCAAAATTGCAACATTCTTCAGTCATGATAATTACACACAAAACAGTGCCTTTCATAACATTTATTTTTATGTAAGAAGACGACAAGCTAGCTACCGATTCACCTGATGTTAAGTGATAACCGCCGTTCATGGACATTTGCAATACCTGTAGGGTTGCAAATTCGTAGCCACCTTTTAATTAAGTGGCCCCCGTTTACCTCAATCATCAGACGAAACGCAGAAGCATAGTACATCCACTTCACGCCGGTTTTATGTGTGGTCGTGTTATCCTATAGGTGCGTATTGATTTACGTGGAAGTTTAGTAATCTTTCAGTACATTCAATATATTTTTGGCGGGTCTATATTGTGCCACGACTCGGTTACAAATTAATCTTGTTTCATCATCTTGTTCAATCATATAAATGTTACTTCTTTAGGAATTTTACAAAAATATGGAGTACCTATATAAAGCCACGTAAAAAAAAGTTTATTTTCTATTTATAAATAATAT